TCCTTTACCATCTGTGGAACCGTCCCTGGACCCTCGAAACATGAATCCCAGCTCTCACCAAGTTTCCAAGGAGAGTCTACTCTGCCAAAACCCTGAGGCTATGGCCCCTGAGAACTACCGACAAGCTGGAAGCGCGCTGTGCGGGAGCTGGTGCGGCCAGGTACGTATTTGGGGGACGATCCCTTTGGAGCAACCAATGACAAGGACAGAAAGGGACCTGGAAAACCTAGCTGTCTCCCAACCAGACTAGAGAAATGAGCCAGGAATTTCAGTTCACCTGTGAGCAATAAACGCAAAACAACAAACTGAGCAGTCTGAGTCCCCTCCCACACAGCCAGCAGTGGGATCTGAGAATGTTCCGCGGCTGCCAGGCCTGTGAGAGGGATCGGATAGTCCAGCAATTAGGAGAAAAGACTGCACCTACCTCTGCCTGGTGGCTACAGGGCAAAGGGCCAGGAAAAGATAACCAAACTCCGGGCTTCCCGGGCTCGCAGCCAGGGGCGTGGTCAAAGTCTACGTTACTAGTTTTCATTTGGGCCCCGTCCGCTGGTGACCCCGAAAGGGCCAGGAAAAGATAACCAAACTCCGGGCTTCCCAGGCTCGCAGCCAGGGGCGTGGTCAACGTCTACGTTACCAGTTTTCATTTGGGCCCGTCCGCTGGTGACCCCTTCCTTTACCATCTGTGGAACCGTCCCTGGACCCTCGAAACATGAATCCCAGCTCTCACCAAGTTTCCAAGGAGAGTCTACTCTGCCAAAACCCTGAGGCTATGGCCCCTGAGAACTACCGACAAGCTGGAAGCGCACTGTGCGGGAGCTGGTGCAGCCAGGTACGTATTTTGGGGGACGATCCCTTTGGAGCAACCAATGACAAGGACAGAAAGGGACCTGGAAAACCTAGCTGTCTCCCAACCAGACTAGAGAAATGAGCCAGGAATTTCAGTTCACCTGTGAGCAATAAACGCAAAACAACAAACTGAGCAGTCTGAGTCCCCTCCCACACAGCCAGCAGTGGGATCTGAGAATGTTCCGCAGCTGCCAGGCCTGTGAGAGGGATCTGATAGTCCAGCAATTAGGAGGCAAGACTGCACCTACCTCTGCCTGGTGGCTACAGGGAGGTGCAGTTAGGGCTTACCACTGGGTACAACTAGCCACATGGGAACCCTCCCTCCCCCAATGGAGGATCCTGCGTGGACAGAGCCCTGGGGACAATGCTGGTCAAAAGTTAGGGCTTACCACTGGGTACAACTAGCCACATGGGGACCATCCCCCGCCCCGCATCGGAGGGTCCTGCGTGGACAGAGCCCTGGGGACAATGCTGGACAAGCACTGAACATCTAACCAGCAGCCACACTGCTGCCCTTTGGGGGATAGTTCACCTGTGAGCAATAAACGCAAAACAACAAACTGAGCAGTCTGAGTCCCCTCCCACACAGCCAGCAGTGGGATCTGAGAATGTTCCGCAGCTGCCAGGCCTGTGAGAGGGATCTGATAGTCCAGCAATTAGGAGGCAAGACTGCACCTACCTCTGCCTGGTGGCTACAGGGAGGTGCAGTTAGGGCTTACCACTGGGTACAACTAGCCACATGGGGACCATCCCCCGCCCCGCATCGGAGGGTCCTGCGTGGACAGAGCCCTGGGGACAATGCTGGACAAGCACTGAACATCTAACCAGCAGCCACACTGCTGCCCTTTGGGGGCCCAGGAACGTGAAGCCCAAGAACTGAGAAGCCTGCATATGGCATATGGGATGGGCAATTCTGGGCGTTAAACTCTGAGGTTCCTTCAGGTCCTTTCTCCCGAATGTGGGGGGAGGGGCTGCCCCAGGCCTGCGTGGGGCACCACGCCAGGGCTCTATCCACACAGGGTCCGGCATGCTGGGAGCAGGACTCCTGGAGTCCTATGCCTTCTTCTCTGTGGTCGACCATCTGGAAAGTGCCACGTCCCCTTATTTTAGAGATTTATAACGTCCACTAGTGCAGTAAAGGCTCTGACAAGTCCTGCAGTATATGAGTTTTTTTAAAAAAAACTTGGTTTAAATGAGCTTTTTCAGCTTTTAAAGTACAGCATAGGGAATACAGTTAGTAATCTATAATAATAAAAGCATAATATGCAAATTGACCAAATGGCCCAACAGTAGAACGACCATCCTGACGACCATGCTATGACACGGATGACCATGCTATGACACGGATGACCATGGTATGACTGGTGCACTGGAGCCAGGCCAGCCAAGGCAAGTGCAATGTGATTGGTTGGGGGGCCGCCATCGCCCCACAATTGCCCTGCAGAAGGAGGCCCAGGCTACTGACTGGCGGGTGGATCAATGGGGGAGGGGAGGAACTCTACGATTGCCACAAAGAGGGAGGCCCAGGCCACCCTCTGCAGGGCGATCAATCGGGGGTGGGGGGCTCTGGGGAACCAGGGTGTGTGGTGGCTGATGCGGGCAGCGCCAGGCCAAGGTGGGGGGCAGGGCCAGGGCTGCAAAGGCTTACCCTTGCACGAATTTTCGTGTGGTGGGCCTCTAGTATTGTAATAATTGTGTATTGTACTTGAAATATTGGGGAGATCACTATGTAAAGCGCATGACTGTCTGACCACTACGCTGTACACCTGAACCTCACACAAAACAATATCCAATGTCAACTGTCACTAAATTATAAAATTCAAATTAAAAATAAAAAAGCCATGGAACCCTCGTGTCAGAGGATGCCTCCTCCAACCCCACAGAGCCAGGCTGTGCAGAACGTGCTTAAGCAAAGGCTCCATCAGGGGAAGCGATTTCACCACACTTAGCTCTCCGAGACGTACTTGGGCCGACCGTGCTGCTGACCTGCCGGAGCCCCCTCTCACCATGACTTTGAACCTGCCTGTGTCCATAAAGACACCTAGGAGGCCTGAGGAGGCGTCCCTTCTCAGCCGCTTTCTCTACAGCATAGGCTTCTGGGAAAACGGGAAGCTCTGCTGTGACAGATGTGCAAAGGTGACTGCTGACCACCTCAGGCCCCGTGGATCTCGGTGGGTCACGGAGAGCCAGGGACAGACAGACTCACTCCTGCCCCTGCCCGAGCCGCTCACTATTTGTCTGTAATGTGGGGTGACAGACAGCGTGGGAGGGGCCGGCACATATCTCGGTCCGGACACTGAGCCAACGCCGGACACGGAGTCAGCTGGGGAAAGTTACCCGCCCTGTTCAGGCACTCATTTATTTATAAAGCACCTCAGCCCTGATAAACACATTGAGAGAGGTCTGGTTACAGCCGAATTTCACTTATCCGCTCGCCATGGGCATTTGTATCATTTGCACTTTCTACATGAGGATCGCCTTTGAAATTAGATAAACCAGAAGTTTATCTTAGCCATCTCGGGTGTACACTGTTCAAGAATGCATCGCACGTGGATCTGCCCTTCAAAACCGAGCCCAGTGACCCTAACTCAACCTGTGGTTGATTATTCCGGATTAGACGGATCAATGATTAATGCAGCAAAACCTGGAGGTCAACACGTGGCGCAGACTGGCCCTACACATTCTAAGTGGCCCTAGAGCTCTTTGCTTGAAGCATCTGGGGGGAGTTTTTGATGGATAGTTTTACTAGAAAGAAGACATGGAAACCACCTCAGATAACCCAGATCACCAAAACTTTGCATAAAGTAAAAGTCAGTCTCTCGTAAGCACCCCAAAATTCCTGCACTCACGTGTCTGGTATTTTGTGCCTGGTCTCTACGATAAATCCTGCGGCCACTTAGAGCTTTCTGCCTTATTTCCTACTCCTCGGCTGGGTTTCTGAGAATCAATTTTCCTAAATAATTGAGTTCTTGGGGTGTATCAGATGCTACTATCTCTAAAGTGTGAGGCTGGAGCTGTGGGTGGCAGCCAGTGATACAGTGGGGCCTTGACTTACGAGTGTCCCGACTAAGGAGTTTTTTGAGATACCAGCTGTCTCTCGGTCGATTTTTTGCATTGCGTTGACAGAGTAATTTGAGTTAACGAGCTCCTTAACAAGCTCCTTAACGAGCTCGGTCTTGGAACGAATTAAACTCGTAAGTCAAGGCCCCACTGTACTGATTTTCCTTCTCCCATTAAGAAACCCAAACCCGTTTCTGGGGTCCCCAGGGGAAGGCTGCTCTGCCTGCCCCGCCCTCTCCGTCCTTCAGGGGCACCTGGCTGGTCCCAGGTGAGTGTCACAGACCGTGTCACGTACACAGCCACTCCAACTCGATCCTCTCCAGCTGGGGCCCCGCCAATGTGCTCGGGCACCTACAGGCTCACACAAAGCCGCCTCTGCACTTGTCCTTGGCCCGACCACAACGGAAGCGCACTGCTCCCCTCCCATCAATGCGCTTCTCTGTTCCACCAGCACGGGGCACAGATGCCCTCGGCCTGCCCGCAAGCCCCCATTCATGCTCCCTCCTCACAGAGCCACTTGGCAGTGAACTTCTCCTTTCTTTTCTCTGCCCCCCAAATACACAAAAGAGGGTTATAAAGCGGGGGTTTTTCCTCTACAGGAATAAGAGGTTAGCTTTCCTTCCTTTCTGTTTTCCTACCCTTGGTCTAAATTTGGCAAATGGAAAGTGAGTGGAAGCAGTTAAACTGACCCAGTTCATGGCCTCGGGATGCTCCTGCAGCCAGAACATTTGCTCTTTCTCATACGATGGTAGTAGGGGGGGGCATCTAAAACCCCTAACACCGCCCCCCCCCCAATTCCTGCTGGGAAATGATTCATGCAGAGGCTTAGGTGAGGCATAAGGGCCATCTTATCCAATCCCTTAAGTTTCAGAAGGGACACCAGGCCCAAGGGGTAAAGGAAGATGCTCAGGCCATAGGTGAACTGGGGGACGCTCGGGGCACCGTCCTCAGGGGCAATAAGGAAAACGAGCATCTTACCGTCATCCAAGTAGGTCTGATCCAAGTTCTGTTCCTGTTTAATTGTCACTCCTGCAGGTAATACTTCCTTTTGGTCACTGACCGGGGGTCCGTTTTTGGCGGCTCTTTGGCTTGTGGCATTCTGCTGCTGAATGACCGTGGGGTAGGACCCCGGGCTCAGCCTCTGACCTTGACTAACGGAGGGTGGGCCGGGCCTGGCCGTGCCGGGTGCGAAATTCTCGCAGTACATGATGTGCTGGAACTCCTGGTTGCTCCCGCAGCGCAGCTGCTGGTTGGTAGGTGAGTAATGGATCACCGGCGAGGCCTGCTGGTTGGCGGGAGAGGAGTGCAGCAGGGCCGGGCTTTGGCCCTGGGAGCCGGCATGCACCAGCACGGAGCGGTGGGCATCGAGGGACAGGGGTGTGGCCATGAGGGCTGGCTGCTGGTAGCCCAGCAGGCTGGGGCTCAGGCTCTTGCTCCGTTGGTACAGGACAGCCGCTGGGTTCTGCTGCTGGTAGCGGGCATCTGGGGATGAGAGCCCCGAGCGGAATTGCTGGCAGGGAGCCATGGTGGCCACGAGGCAGGAGGGGGACTCGGCCACCCTGGGGTGCTGTGGGTAGTAAGGCTGGCTCCCCAGGCCCCCGTGGGCGGGACTGCAGATCAAGGTGGGGTCATATTCATCCGTGGGCTCTGTCTTGATGGCTGGGACTGTGAGAAAAGGACACGGGGTGCACCATTCTTAGTAAGCCGCAGGTGTGCACAGAGGGTCAGTGGACAGAGGTCAGGCACATGGCCTTGGGAGTCCGAATGGGTGTGTGAAATAGTTGGGCTCTGACATTTGTTAGCCTCAGGCAAGAGGCTCCCTGTGCAACGGTCTTAGGTCAGAAACCTAACCCAGGGCGATGATTTCGAACCACAGGTCTTTCCAGTGGTGGAAAGGTGGTCTGTGAATAGCAGGGGGCTCAGCCTGGGATGTCTGCAGCCTTTTTCCCCAGGAGCAGAGCTCAAAGGAGAATGTTTGGTTTAAAAGAATGCTGCCCCTCCTCCCTCTGCCTACCAGTTCCCGCCCCTTCCCTTCTCGCTGCTCTTCATAATACTCATCACTCGTCAGAACACTGACATATTCTGTAGATGTGCTTACTTATCTGAACACCCCCACTGGACGGTCAGCTCCTCAAAAGGAGATTTTTTGGGGGGCGGGTGGAGAGGAGAGTTGTCTGTTTTGTTCAATGCTGGGTCCCTAGCACCTAAGACACTACCTGGAACTTAACTGACACTCAGATATTTTCTGGGCAAGAAATGACCAAACGGTGACTGTCGGCCTCCTTAGCTCTACAGTGTTTTGGGGGAATGAGAACTGCTGGCTTGGGCCTCAGTTTCCCCATCTGTTACTTGGCAGCCATAGGCACTTACCTGGTGGGGTTATTGAGAGGATTAAATGAGCTGTGTGTGCAAGGCAGTCAGCACAGGGACTGGCATACAGTAAGTGCTCCATGCCTGCTGTTGTTGCTATCATTACTATTATTGCTGCTGCTGTTAGTGGTGCTGTGGTTACTGTCCACACCTCTCTCCCCACCTAGCAGCGTCACCAGAATGTGTCCTTCTCCGACATCCAGCCCCAGAGCTGAGGAATCAGCTTTCTTGGCACTGGAGTAAATGAACTGGTGACAGGACAGTAATCAAAGTGGGGCCCCCTCCCCCGTGTTGGGGGTTGGAGGAGGCAAGGAGGTTCAGCCCTTAAAGCAAGCACACAGCTCTGACACCAACCACAGGAACCATTCCTCAAGATGCCATTCAAAGGCCACCATCTCAATCCTGGCCCGCCTGGGGACCAAGTTCTCACTGGGACCACGCTCAGACAGGTGCGCGCCAACCAGGCCCAGGGCGGCCTCACCTCCACACATGAGAGGTGAGAACTCATAAAACGTAACTGCAAACCTCTACGTGAGCAGGATGGTGGTGATGCAGTCTACAGCCCTCCCAGGGACCGACTCCACTGTTCTAGGTCCCATTAGGACATCGCCACTCACGGCATGTCACGCCAGTCCTGGGCTGGGGCCCCACAAACCCGTGGACACACCTCGCCAAAGCCCCCTCTCCCCAAGGCCAAGCTCTCAGCACCGGCCCTCGGGTTCATGCTTTCAGCAACCCAGAGTCTCCCTGGGAAACTATTACAGAACAGAAATTACACCCTGGGTGACAGTCTAGATCAGCAGTCTCCAACCGGTGGTCCACGGACACTGGTGGTCCGTGAGGTCTGAAAGGTTGGCGACCGCTGGTCTAGATGATAGGTTTTCCATTCTGGGAAGGTGCCTAGTGGGCCTGTCTCAAGCCTTGGGAAGCTTCGAGCCTGTTTCTGCAGGCCCCTCCTAATCTGATGTGTCAATAATATCAATATCACTTCCATCTAAGTCCCCTCTGTTAGGGCATCGGCTCCTCGAGGGCAGGGCTTTTTATCTGTGTGTTCACTGCTGTGTGTCAAGCTCAGAACAGTACCTGCCCTCAGATATTTTCTGGACGAATGAATGAATGAACAATGGCACTTGTCACCCCTCCTGGGACTACTTTGTGGGAATGAGACCTCCTGGACTGGTTATCCACCTGGCCACAGGGTTACCACCCACAGTGGGGTCAACGAGAGATTCCATAGGTTTTAGGGCACAGTCACCTCTACCCCTAGCATGATCAAATCTAAGGCAGGGACAGGAGTCACCAGGTTTGCAACCTTGTGCTGAGCAAGCCCTCACAGGCCTCTCCCCATCCCGCCCTCCCAAAGGGAAATACTAACAACACCAACAGCTCACATCGCTGCTGCGTTTGCTGTGCTGAGCACTCCCTGTGCACCTGACTCCTGTAACCCTCTAAGGAAGGCGTCGTTTGCTGGGTGAGGAAACCGAGCTGGTTGCACCACCAGCCCGAGGTCCCCCAGCCAGCAGCACACACCAGGGTCCTCACCCACACGCTCACGCTGCCTCCCCACAGGGGCCTTCGGGGAGGCTCCCACCTGGGTGGTAGGTAAAGTGCTGAGGCTGACTTCGTTTTCTCTTCCCGTTGATGACGTAGAAGTTCACCTTCACCGACGTGCGGACGTGCTTGTTCCGGTACTCGGGGATCTCAACAAAAAGCATGTTCTGGAAGGAAGGGGTTGTCATTAACTTCATGGCGGCAACATCTAAATTCCCATCCAAGGCCCCAAGCGCGTGGAGCCAGCCCATCTCCCTGGAGTCATGGCACGTGCCATACGTTTGCAGGTGAAATGCTATTTAAGGGGAATTTGACTTGTCAGCCTCGGCAAAGAAAGAACTGCCACTTACTCTATCGAAGAATAGTAAGATGTCACCGTTACAAATCAGCGGACTGGTGCTCATGGAACGTTTAGTTAACTCGTCAATTCAATACCTACTGCGTGGCTGTTAGGTCCAAAGCCCTGGGACTTTGGTGCAGGAAAGGAAAAGGGAGGAAAGAGGACCCGAGGGAGGTGGGCAGGACACGGTCAGGGCGTTCGGTCCTCTCGCCCGGTGCTTACAGGCTGGCTCTTGTCTTTATCCACGGTGGCCTCCATCTCCCAGATCTGCTGCCCATCTGGAAAAATCCAAGGATGACAGACTCTGAAGGAACTATTAGAAACCAAAGACTTAAGACAAAAACTCACCCAAGCCTCTTTATCTTGGTTTTTGTATTGTATCATCTCAGTACAGCATACATGTGTGTTTGTGGAGGGGATGTATAGATGTACACATATGTATTTTACTTGTCATATATGTATTTTTCTTTTTGCAAAGGAAACCCATAGTGACAATAGAAAACTGGGCGACAGCCTAGCCGGTTTGGCTCAGTGGATAGAGCATCAGCCTGCAGATTGAAGGGTCCCAGGTTCGATTCCAATCAAGGACACATGCCCTGGTTGCAGGCTTGATCCCCGGTAGGGGATGGGCAGGAGGCAGCCAATCAATAATTCTCTATCATCACTGCTGTTTCTCTCTCTCCCTCTCCCTTACTCTCTCTGAAATCAACAAAAACATATATTTTTAAAATATATTATATATATATTTTTTAAAAATAATATATTTTTAAAAAAGAAAGAAAACTGGGCGGCAATAAAAAATAAGGGGGGGAAACTGCCTATCATCCCATCGCCATTATCTATTTCTCCACATCTGAATGCATATGTATATTTTATTCTTTCAAAATAAAAGTAGTATTGTTACACATTATACTTTATGCTTTGTTCCACCAAAGACTAATTCCAAGATGTCCACTGCAGACCACTGGCTGCACAGGTGGCTCACACTGTCTGTCCTAAGATGTCCTGGCTGATGAGTCACCGGAGAGAATGGAAACATAGGATCCACCCTCCACGGTTCAGTCAACAGTCAGCCTGGATCCCACACGGCTCATTGCAGCAGCTGATGAGCAGTTTTGCTCAATAGTAAGCTCCTCCCCTGAAGCACAGCACTAGCTCCCCACTTTGGGGCCAAGAAGCCAGGCCAAACAAAACTCTGCATTTGCAAATAATAGATTTCTTTTACTGACCACCTACATTGGCCATTGGGCAGCTTTTGGCTCCAACAAATCATTTCCACCAGTGTTTCCAGGGTGTTTTGTGGAACACTGGCTCTGAAGATTATTAAATGGGTTTACGAGAATGGGAAACAAATTCTACAAGCGAATAAGCATTTGGAAAATGCCGAGTCTACGGACCCAAGAGAAAAGGGAGGGAGCCCTTCTCCCTAAATGTCACCCTTCCCTCCTTGTCTGGTGGGCGTGTGTAAATAAACTCCACCCACCAACAGTCAGAGATTCTAGTGCAGGGCTGCTTGAGGGCTCCCTTAGAAATGACCAGCCCAGCACCATCGGATGGGGAAAGGGCGGCCTGAGAAGGAAGAGGGCCGTCCCAAGGCATGCAGTGGACAGCTGTCACCGTCCTAAGGAGCTACTGGCACATCCAGTAACAAAGGAGATGCTTTCAGGGAGAGAAGCTCCAGGCTATTGAGCAGAAAGACGATGAGCGGCTTCCTGGGAAGCTGGAGGGAGGGCCTACGTAGGCAGGATCTTTCCAGGGTCACGGCCATCACGAAGGTGCGTGCATGTCTCCTCAAGCCCTTCCCTGTTCCGTGCCTCCAGATACCATCCAAGCTCCCCCAGTGGCCGTGAGGGCCCCGCTCAACCTGGCGCCTGCCTCTGTCCCAGCCTCTTCAGGCGCCATTCTCACCCCTCCCCCCAAAATAACAGCTGTTGCCTATCAGCGCTTGCCACATGTGACATCACTCGAAGCACCTCGCAGGTACAGACTTGGTGAATCCACACGACAACCCTAGGCCACGGGTCCGCTCATCGCCACCATCTGACAGGTGAGGATATTCAGGCACAGAGAGGTCAAGGCACTGGCCCCAGAACACACAGCTAGTGGGTGGAGAAGCCCCATTGGAGCCCAGGCAGCCTGGCTTTAGAGCCAGTTACCTTACGTGGTTTCAGATTCCTCTGCCAAGTTAATAAAGGTGGGCAGGCATCTCAGTGGCTCATCCTTGAAGACCCAGCTGTGGTCTCCAGTTAGACCATGTTTGTCCCCTCAGGGCTCAAGAGCACCCTGGGTACCCCACCACCACTCTCACTGTCTCCCCATTGTCTGGAACATTCTCAGAGGTTGTCTACCTTATTGCGTGCCCCAGCGCTCAGCTATTTGCCGACACGACGACAATGAAAATCACCGAGGTCAGATAGAGTCACAATGTAAGCGGTGGCCAGGGCAGGAGAGCTCCTTCCAAGAAAGCAGAGGCCCACTGGGTGCAAACGCCAGGTGCCCATCGGTAGGTGGATGGTCAAACAGGATGTGGTCCACCATACAATGGAATATTATTCAGCCTTAAAAGGGAAGGAAATTCTGACACGGGCTACCACACGAATAGACCTTGAAACATTATGCTCAGTGAAATAAGCCAGACGCGAAAGGCCAGATATGCACGGTCCCACTTACATGAGGTGCGCAGAATGGACCAATACACGGACACAGAAAGAAGAATACAGGCTACCTGGGACTTGGCGGGGGGCAGGGGGAGAGTTACTGTTTAATGGGTGCAGAGCTTCTGTTTCACACAATGAAAATGTTCTGAACATAGACAGTGGTGATGATTACACAACGTTGTGAATGTACTTAATACCCCTGAACTATACACTTATCAATGGTTAAAATGATTAATAGTGTATTATGTGTATTTTACCACAGTTAAAAAAAAAACTTTTTATTGATCTCAGAGAGGAAGGGAGAGGGAGAGGGAGAGAGAGAAACATCAATGATGAGAGAGAATCACTGATCAGCTGCTTCGAGCCCACAGCCTGGGTATGTGTCCTGACCAGGAATCGAACTATGACCTTGTGGTTCATAGGTTGAGGCTCAACCACTGAGCCATGCTGGTCAGGCTACCACAACTTTTAAAAAACCAACTGGCCTCACCCCCAGAGGCCTGGCTTGTTTTAAAGCCTGTAAAGTGGCTTAGAGGTTTTTTTAAATTAGTTGCTGCCATTTCAAAATGAGACTTCACTGAAAAATGCAGATTTTGTTCTTGGACAAAAAAATTCTGACATTCTGGGCACCCACAGGGAACTTACCATGGCACCCTCTTCTGACAGTGTGTGATGCCCACTATACCATGGCACCCCCGCCCTGACCTCCACAGCCGTGCGCCCTGCCTCAGTGGGCCTTTAAGGTGCCACTGCCCGCAACCTCACTCGGAAGACTGCCCAGGCTTCTGCAGGTTCCCTCGCTTAGGATGTGCCTGATGTTATTCTCATGATTGCAGGACATCAGAACCCCTCTGTCTCGGACATAGTCCCATCCTGCTGCACAGTCCCCCAAACCAAGGACTCCCAGCCTGGCCTGCAGAGGGGCACCCCTACATAGCCACCCACTCAGAACTCCTCCCTTCCACCGCCCCTTGCTGGGCTCCAGCCAGGGCAAACAAGGCCGTCCAGGCAGTTCTTCCTCAGGATGCCCTCTGCAGGGGCCGCCCACGGCACATCCCGCAGCCCCGCTCCCAGAGCTCCTGGCATCAGGTCAGAAGACAACAGTGGGGTTGGAGGAAATGCCTGCTAGGTCCATGTTCTCACGGGCCTTCAGCACCCGTCTGCTGTAGCCCTGGGCCTCCCTGGGCCTCCCTGGTCCTCTCTGCACCTCCCTGGTCCTCTCTGGGCCTCCCTGGGCCTCCCTGGGCCTCCCTGGGCCTCCCTGCACCTCCCTGGGCCTCCCTGCACCTCCCTGGGCATGTTCTGTGCCAGAACGGACTTCCCCTCTGTTCGTCACCAACTCTGGAGCAGACAGACCTGCTTCAAATCCCTTGTTTTGCCCCCAACTAACCGTGTAAGTTTGGCTAAGACACTTCACCTCTCTTTGCCTCTAATCCAAAATATGGGGGAAATCATAGTACCTACACCTCCTAGGAGTCATCCCAAGATAACAGACACCCAGCAGAAAATAAATGTTGAGTCGACATTGGCAAACATTATTATTGTGACCAGTGGCAACAGATTATTGAAATACTGTCTTTTTCATCTTTTTTGCAGTCTGGGTTCAATCCCTGTTCTCTCCATTTAGCTGTGTGGGCTTTGAGGGGTAGCTTAACCTCTCTGTGCTTCTGTTTCCTCAGAGACAAATAATAAAGTTAATTTACTGACTTCCAAGAGTTTGGCAAGAATTCAAGTAGGAATTATATGTAAAATGCTGAGCAAAGTGCCCAGCCCATAGTGAGTGCTGGTTTCGTCTCACTGTTGTTTTAGAATGTGGTGTTTCACGTGGGTCTGCCTCTAGGGAGAAAGAACTGGCTGGCCATGTGACCCAGTGCTCTGGTGGGTTTCACAGGTTCTTGTTCATTTCATGGCATGACATCTCTCACTGCAAATGAATAAAATGGCCATAGAAAGTATTCACTGAGGGGGGCAGGCCGAAGTAATTACGGGCCAACCATACTGGGTATGAAATAGCAGGTATATGAGGTAAAGGAATACCGGGCAGCACTTAGAATAAGGAAGATCGTATTTTCTGACCTGGAAACGTGTTGCTGTTATATTAAAAGGCAGCATGTGTAAGTGCTGCAGAGCAGTATGTGCAGCGCTATGCAACTCTGTGAGTCTGCAAATATGTCTGCTTCAACTCAGGGAACCTGTGTCTAAGCTACACGTACGGTTACACCTCTGCGGCCAGGACTGGATGGATGAGGTGAGACCCTCACGTCTTCCTTCACAGGATTCAAGCAACATGGCAGAGCTATGGGCGGTTTTCATTTGTGTGCATTTTCCCGGTGTTTTTTTAAATAAAGTTTTTCTCTTATGAAAACAACTAGAGGCTCCGCGCCCCAAAAATTTTGCAC